AATCTAGCCATGTCCTGCTCCCGATTCTTGTGATCTCAGTGTAGCTTTCTGCGGCAGAATGTGCAGTACGAGAGTTTCCCAGAAATGATCAAATGCTTTTCGTTTGGCAGGGCGGCCTGCAGCAGGGCGGCTTCACCCTGGGCGGCCGCGTCCGCCGCGAGTCCACCGAGCCCCGAGACCTGTTCCACGGCCACATCATGGCCATGGACACCTTCGCCCGCGCCCTCAGGAACGCCGCCCGCATGATCTCCGACGGATCCTTCAGCCGCAGCATCCAGCAGGTAAGTCTCCAATGTTTATTTATTTATTTTTTTTCATTCTTTGTGACGTAATCTAGTCCTGTAAGTTCCATCCTTCTATTGAACGGGTAATTGAAGGCATGAGTAACGTTGATAATGTGTGTAATTCTCTCTCCTAGAAAGTTATTGCATTTACGAATCTTCTCAGCAGATTATCTAGCGTTCTTTCCCTTCGCCTTTTATGTAATATATCCCAAAGGATATCCTTGCACCACATGTCCTGCATCCTTAAACATTTACGTCAGCCACAGATGAACCTCAGAAATGCGTTACACCGTATTTGATGACACATAAAAATGACTAAAAAATCCCCTGGGTTTTTAATTCGAAGATGCAGGGAATGGTTCAAATATGCCCGCGCGTCTCATATGCCGTCAGATAAGGTACTAATATTGACTTTTACCCTAACACATTACCTGACTGTTTACATATCCCCCTAACATTTTACGCTCTCTTTCTCTCTCTCCCTCGCTCTTTCTCTCTCTCTCTCTCTCTCTCTCTCTCTCTCTCTCTCTCTCTCTCTCTCTCTCTCTCTCTCTCTTTCTCTCTCTCTCTTTCTCTCTCTCTCTCTCTCTCTCTCTCTCTCTCTCTCTCTCTCTCTCTCTCTCTCTCTCTCTCTCTCTCTCTCTCTCTCTCTCTCTATTCCTTCCCCCTCTGCCTCCCTACCTCCCTCCCGTACTCACCCACCCACTCACACACTCTCTCTTCCCCCCTCCCTCCCTCCCTCCCTCACTCACTCTCTCTTCCCCCCTCCCTCCCTCACTCACTCATTCACTCACCTCGAGCCCGTTCCTTGCAGCGTTACTCGTCTTACAAGTCTGGCTTCGGCGAGCGCGTGGAGATGGGCAACATGACCTTCGACGACTGCGAGGACTTTGTTCGCAAGAATGGAGAACCTCTGCACCAGTCCAGCCGCCATGAGCACTACGAGAACATGTTCAACTACTACATCAGTCCTCCTCGGCAGTAGATAACATCACATTTAGTTAACATGCCTCTACCACCGTGCCATTTTTTAAATATTTGCGCGGTTATAAGTGTCAATAAGATCTCACAAACGCAGCTGGGTGTGCCTTTAAGCAAGGGAGGTTTGGTACTGTAGGAAAGGTTTAAGCGAGAAGGAATGCGCCACGGAGCGAGAGATATGACTTTTTGACTCCCCGTCGGACGTCATGTCTTCCTGGGAACGACCAGGAAGTCATGGAAGTCTGACGAAGACATGTCAAAACGTCTAAAATTGCAACCTCTCGCTCAGTGAAGCCATTCTTCTTCGCCGCCGCCTCTGCTACATTCATCACAACAGACTCTTTTCATCGAGGTTCGGTTCTGCACCAAAGATCTTTCACACGAGGCCAGCCGACTGCCCGACGGACGAAAGGGGATCAGTAGCTCCTTCCACTCCCCTCGTCACAGGGGATCTACGGAGAGCGCAGCATCCGAAAGGGAGCAAACACCTTAAGTCTCTTGGATGCAGAGAATGATGTTAATGTTGCAACACCAAATTAAAACGAGAGTATAAATCTGTAGTATCAATCAGCATTTTTTCTAAATTGAATTAAACGTTAACAAAATGAAGGGAAATATATCACCTCAAAGAATAACCCAAATGATTTAACTGATATGAAAAATAATGTTCATAATGAAAGAAAAAACAAACAAACACCAAATGTATTGAAAGTAATTATGTGCTACAGCGAAATCTGATGGCGGAGATAGAGGGGAAAAGTGCTATACTTATAGGTAGGTGTCAGAATTTTTTCAAGTCACAGATGAAAGGAGACTGACTTAAATTCAAGTCATCCAATAGTGGTAAGCGGTAAGATGAGACTACGAGTTTGATCTTTGTTCATTTATCCACCTTTTTCATATTCATTCAAGTTTATTATACGAATTTCTCGCCTTTGCAAATTTCAATTGCATGACACTTTTCATTAAAAAATATATACATTATTAGCACATACTTTTTATCATAAAAATGGCAACTAGTAGGTCTTCCTCTGCTCAGATCATTATCACGTTTATATTCCATATCCAAAACATTCAGAATGAAAATATAATCCCGAATTAAGTATTTCAATTAAAATTACCTAAATTGGCGGTATACTGCTCATGATTCAGGACATCACGTGTAAAACATAAACAAGTTGATTGGATTGTATATTACGAATAAATTTGGTCAATGCACTGTTATTCTCTAACCA